TCTCCATCTGTTCATGATGTTGATCAAAGAGATATTTGTTGTGCCTATCTTTTTCCTGGAGGTCATCATAGTAGGAAGGTTAAGACAGCATGTGCTCAATCTCTTTTTAATTTTTTTAATTTGAACTTCTTTTCCTTTTCTTGCCCTGTCTTTTGGCCGAATATGCACTGACCTTTGAAGGTACTATCTGATAGGTGTTCAGAAAGGAGATAGTGTTTGTTGTTGATATAAGTGGAAGCATGGAAGGAGCACCCCTTGAGGGTACAAAGATCGCCTTATCTGCAGCACTCACAAACCTTGATTCCAAAGATTCGTTCAACATCATAGCTTTTAATGGAGACACTTATCTTTTTTCATCGTCAATGGAATTGGCCTCTGAAGATACAGTTGAAAGGGCTGTTGAGTGGATGAGTATGAATTTAATTGCTGGTGGTGATACAAATATCTTGGTTCCTCTAAAACAGGTCATCTTTCATTAATGATTTTGTGATTATTCATCTGTGTCCATGCTTGTATAATATGTATTGTATGTCTAAATACTCCTAAATACAGATCTTAACATTAAAATGCCTGCCATCTTGTTAAATTAAATGTTGAAAAAATCGAGTACATAGCATTTTGATGAACAGATAAAAAATGATTAGTATCTTTTGGCCTCAGTTCGCCATGCTAAATTAAATTATTACTGTTAACAACCTTCCTCTGATGAATGGTTTGTTCAATTTTAGTTTTGCCATGATTTCAAAATGGTGGTGTGAGAAGCACTAGATTTTGCTCGTTGTATCTTGATATTTTTGAACTTGATATTTCTCTTTTTTCAGAGTTGTTTATGTTCTAAAAATCTTTTGAAATCAATTTGTGGATATTGGAAGGTGCACTTCCACAGCATTTGGGGTTGTAGTTTATGCATCAGTCTGGAAAAAAAAAAAAATGCAACCACTTTTCACTTGCTTCATGCTTCCAGGCAACAGAAATGCTATCAAAATCTGGAGGCTCAATTCCTTTCATCTTCCTTGTTACTGATGGGGCTGTTGAAGATGAAAGACACATTTGTGATAAAATGAAGAGTTACATAACAGGCGGAGGATCGATACATCCACGTATTTGTACCTTTGGGATAGGTAATGGTTTCGTATGCTTCATTGGTGGGACTGATGGCATATTATCAGCTACTTTTTAGTTTATTATATTATTTTTAATGTTCCCCTTTTTTCTTCAGGGGGGCTCCATAGATGCATTTAGAATTTCTTAGGATGTCATACTCCATCTCTGCGGAAAAAAACTTCCAATTTTGACTAGATTTGATTTATGTATTCTGAGAATTTCATGTAATTACCTTGAGATTTTGGAACATTACAGGTTCATACTGCAATCATTATTTCCTACGAATGCTTGCAATGATTAGCAGGGGTCAATATGATGCTGCCTACGACATAGGTCAGTTTTTGTACACTGGAGTAGAGTATCCTATTCTTTTAAAATTTTCTTTATTATTATTATTTATTTATTTTTTGTTGTGGGAATCTGGAGAGGCTGTTGCATATATCTGACAATTCGTGGAGGGATAGGTTAAAAGGCTTAAAATATCTTGGGTGTAAATTAGCCTGATTGTTTTGTCACACCATTTGATACATATGATATGAGATCTCAATAGTTGAAACTTTGAAGTTTATAGTTATAATATGGTGACAGATAGCCTTGTGGTTTTCCAATTTAGTAATGGAACTAACATGACATAGATCCTGCACGCCTAGAATAGAATGCCTCATCTGTGTTTTTGAACTTCAGAGTTTTGATGCTAAAAATAAATCACCTAGTAAATGACAACTGATATTTGGAAAATCATGTCTTCTCATGTTAACAGCACTGGTAAAATGTAGTTTTTGCCTTTTTTTGTGGTCAGATTCAGTTGAGTCTCGAATGCAAAAGTTGTTGAGCAGAATCTCATCTACAATCATTGCAAATATAACCATCAAAGCCTTTGATGATCTTGATGAAGTTGAGGTATACTTTTAATTAATTCCTTTAGGCTATTCTTAGCCTTACTGCCTTAAGTTGAGTTATGATTCCATGTGCGTGTACTTGTTATCCCTTGTCCCCTTTTTTCTCATGAAGTGACTTGATAGTCTCAAATTTTATCTTTTCTAAGACACTTTTCTTTTTTAAACACTTGAAGTTACTTTTCGATGATTATTCTGCTAAAAAAATCTGAAAAACATGTACATTATTCAATTGATTCCATATGATACTATTTATCAGTTTCTGTTTCATATTATATCCATGCATTCTTTGTCATCTATTGTGTATGATTAATTTCCTTTCTAGAAAATTATTTAATTGGATGGTATGGATTTTATTTCACCTGAACTTGTATAAACTCATGTATTCTTCTGCCATTTGTTATAGGTATACCCTTCTCGGATTCCAGACCTTTCTTCTGATAACCCGTTGATTGTTTCAGGGAGATTTCAGGGAAACTTCCCTGACAGTGTTGTAGCTACAGGTTTTTTTGGAGATTTGAGTAATTTTTCTTTAGACTTGAAAGTACAACAGGCAAAGGACATACCTCTTCACAGTGTAAGGCTCAGGACAGTTATCCTGTTCTGTATTTCTTTCCTTTGTGTTTGATAACTAATTTCATAATTCGTAATATTGACATGGTGCATGGCTCCTGTTGCCTGTGCTTCTCTCTAGTTCAGCCAATGTTGTGCATGTAAAGTGCGTACTATGGTAGTAGGTTAACTAGCTGGTGGTGATGCACGTATGAATCTAATTTGCTGCTTCTAGCGATGAATGCTAATTTTCAACTCCATGAATGTTTTAACTTGTTTCTTTTCTGTAATTCCAAGATTTCACATATCATAAATTTTTACTTATTTTTCCAATTTAACTTTTAATGTATTATTTTTATGATTACTGTGGCTTGGAAACGTGATTAAACCTTTTTCATGGATTTTTTGTTCTTCTACCATCTCTCTCATTCAAGATTATTTTAGTTTGGTTCACCTGGAAACCTGTACATAACATCACTGTTTCACGTGCAAATAACTGCAGTTTTGGATTTTGCATAGTCAATTCTTACAGAGTTTATGTTCTGCAACAGGTTTCTGCAAAGCAGCAAATAGATCTACTCACTGCGCAGGCATGGTTTTCAGAAAATAAACAGCTTGAGGAGAAGGTCTCTGTTTTTTCTTCTTCCTATTCTGCCTGAAAAATCCATTTATTAATGCTATTCAAGTCTGGAGATTCTGGCCATTTTGTTTATAAACTAGTATGAAATTTGTCTTGCTCTGCTGATTACCTTACTGAAACTCATACGTCCTATGAAACACCTTAACTTGTTCTTTGGCTCCATGGTCAACTGCATGGCAAGCTCCTTTTATTAACTTATCAAGCTTCCATTTGCTAGTTAAGGGGGGTTATTGATGTCATTTCCTTATTGTCAGGTTGCCAAATTGAGTATACAAACTGGTGTTATCTCGGAATATACTTGTATGTCATTACTTGAGACTGATAGAGGAAATCAAGCGGCAGAATCACCTGGAGGGCGTAAGGTATGTGCTAATTTGGTGTTATTGCAAGCGTGTTGATGCACTTGTCTACCTTAGGGATCACATCTTAATTCGTAAGTGAAGACACCAAGTAGTTCAGTACTCCCAACTGCTTTTGCAAGTCCCACGAATTACCTCTTTTCCAGCTGTATTATCGCATGCACGTGATGAATGAAAATGCATTTAAATCTTTCTAGCTTCACCCATAGGCAGTCAGATGGCGCTACTAACCTCCTTTTAGCTAGCTGCTCATTGACTAATCTATACAAACATATAAATTGTCGAAATTGCAGTTTATGGTTCTCGTCTTACCCAGTTAACAGTGTTACATGGATGATGTTCCTTTCATTCTTATTCATCTGATTTTTATCCAACTTTTATATCATCTAAGCGTTAGTGTCTTCCAAAATTCATGTAAACAGTTGCCACGGCAAGTTAATCCTCAGAAGGTAGACTTTCAAGGCCGGAGAAGAATATTTCTAAGGAACCTTGGTGTTGGTTTTGGCAATTTGACTGCAACGGCTGAAAACCTTCGTCCAGGAGCTGAAGAGTCAAAGTTGCCCGAGGCAGCAGAAATTATCATTAAGGCAGCTTCCAATTGCTGTAGCATAATGTGTAATCAATGTTGCTGTATGTGCTGCGTCCAGTGTTGCTCCAAGATAAACAACCAATTCGCAATAGTCTTAACACAGCTTTGCACTGCTCTAGCGTGCTTTGGCTGCATCGAGTGCTGCTCAGAAATATGTTGCGGAGGACAAGATGGACACTAAAAACATGATCTGAATCTCTTTTATGAACATGATATATTACATTTATTTTACCACGGCATATGATGATAATTGTTGAAAGCATTAATATCCATTCTCTCTCCTGAACTGGCCTTTGGACCCTCTCCTTGCTCAGCACGGGAAAGCGCGGACAACAACAGCAAGGAAGCGGTCTATGTAGCTGCTACAGATAACAACGCCTCTTCCAAGGACGGCGTGGAATGATCGAGGGCGGACCTTTTTGAAGTCATAGCATCCACATAATCAAATGTCCTCGGAATTGTGTCGGAAAGATAATGAGAGACGGTCTCTTGCATCATTTTGTTAAATAGAATTCAACACTGAATCTTTTTGATGGACACAAAACCATTATCGGTGAATCCATCGCTCCTGTGTTGCCTATTGCCATCATGGAAAGAAAGATGGTGTTCATCACCAATCAGACAGTATTCGCAAAACAGGCTGCCCCCAATCAGTACACGCGGGCGGTCCGTGAATTTAATTTCCTCCTGTATCTGCTTTCTCTACAACCTTCCTTCGTTTATCTACCCAGCGATGTTTAGACCAGCAATACTGACCCCAGCAAACGGGGGGTTGGGGTGGGGGTGGGGGGGTGTTGGGGGTGATGATATTGAGTTCTGGATTTGCCACATGAAATAATAATAATAATAATAATAATAATAATAATAAAGTACTGTTATTTTATATTTTGTTCTCCAGTAAGGTTTTCTTCTACACATTCTTCCACTTGTAATTCCGATGCTTCCTTGTCTTTTGAACCCACAAATCTCTGGTGAATTTTTTCCTGGATCTTGGTAACACCCTTCTCTACAGGTCCTATCGCTTGGTTTATGGTCAACACAACATCTTTGACAACCTGCTTTTTTAAGAAGAGCGTAAAAATAAAATCCAACAATTCAAGAATTTAATATCGAGGAGGGTTTTTTCGTGGAGAGAAACATACGCTTTGACCGCCTTCAAGAACTATGTCTTGAACACTCTCAGACACACTTGTTCCAGGAGCAGCAACCTGAGTTTCTCTCTTTTCAAACACAGCTGATTTCTCCTGGTCACCTCCCCCAAACTTCATCTCTGCTTTGGTTGTCTCAGTGGTTACCCTTCCATACCCAGAAACAGGAATAAAACGATACGGTTCCGCTGAAAATACATATATATGAGCCACAGCTGCAATTGCCATCTGCCAAGTAATCAAAGGGAAGCCATATAGTTGTGGAAACAAAAACAAACAGGCAAGGAATATATCATTATGCTTCGCAGGTAAAGATGGCTCAACAATGAGTTTTGTAGGCACCAAGTCTTTAGTGGTAATACTTAAGTACAGTTGCAACTACTGCTTGCAATAAATGAATGGTGCGAGTTGCTTGCGAGAAAAACTGTTTCCAAAACCATAGCAACTTACTTCTATGCAAATAAAAAAGTCTTGCAACCCTGTTCGGAGTTTTTTAACGTTTGGCAGAACTCCAACGGCCCAAAGGAGAGCAATACCCAGGCCTTGCCACCAGGTGGCAAACACAATAGCCTTGAAGCTGATGAACTTTGCCAGTGGCTTTATTGGTTTTAGTCGTTCGTGCGTTACATTGTAGAACTGCACGAGGCAATATAGTGCCCACATCTGGCTGAAGTTGAGTACCACTGCTATGTATGGATACCTGCAAGAAACCAGAGTGGATTAGCTGATCCAAAAACCACCAAGGACTCCATTCCTGAATATCTAACGAGGCATCATCTGATAGAATAGGAGAGGAAAATAATTTCTGAATCTAAGGTGCCGGGGTGTAATCTCTTGTTAAGAGCACAAACAGAAGTCACACTGATACAAGTAGAAGAGACTTGCATTCACTTTGGGAACCTAAAAATACTAAGGATATCGATTTGCATTAGAACATCAGAAGATTACAAAAAGAAGAAGAAAGAGGCAACTTAACTAGAAGATGACACAAGGAGTACATACCCGTAGTGCAACTTGAATTCCCCATCACCGAAAACCCCAAAGAGCTCCAACAATAATGCTAAAAATGCACAAAATGTCTTCAGAATCATCTGAACTAACCACAAGATATTAGACTCCAAACAAAGTCATCATGATCGGATCATATAAACAGAAAGGGCGGTAACTTACATACTGTACAAGACCAAATCGCTCTATTGTAAGCAAGTCCCTTCCTATAGCATATGGCCTGGAGAAAAAGCTGATAAAAGATCTACTTTGTACAGCTTGATTCCCACTCCTCCGCTCCAACAATGTTATGCCGAGCTGCCCTCGCGATTCATTTTCAAGAAGTTCTATTACACTCCTTTCCCCACCTAGCATGCAATTTGACAAAATGCAAGCTCACACAACAAGTAACATCGCACACCAGATCAAGATCAAGCCAGATGAGGACAAAGACAACTTTTTTGTTGCAATTTCTGAAATTTGTTCACTTCCCTGAAGTGCTGTCTAGTTATCAGAAGGGGCATAATGATAACTAGACAAATTATAGCAAACAGGGAGACGGAAAGCGCACTGACAGAAGCAAATATAGCAGCCAAAATCTCTAAAACAGCTCAGAAAATATAGAGAGCTTTACTAACCCAAACAAGCAACCAAGTAGCTACCAAATGAGTACAAAGCAAATGCTTCATAGCAATTTCTTAAAATGTCACAAGCAACAGACATTCTTGGGTTCCATAATGATAAAATCTGCACAAGTAAATAACCATAGAATTATTATCCACCAATTAAGGGCACAAACAATCACTAAATGTAAAATAAAGTAACCATGATGTATGCCTACAATATAAAGATAGAACCTTACTGATTGTGTTGCATAGACAGGAACCATGAAAATAACTGCAACAATCCACTTTTGTTCCTAAAAAAAAAAAAGTTAATGAATTCATGATTTAAATCATCAATTTTGCTGAAAATGGGCAAATTAATTTAATTAAAGAACAAACCGCAGGATTAGTGTAAGATTTAAGATGCTGGAAAATGAGATAGATAGAAAGCAGCACTGCTACAATTGCAAAACATCCTCCAATAACAACAGCTGGCTGGTGCAAATCTCTGTAAGTATCTTCATATCCTGTTGCCATTTCTCTTGCATGTCCCACTCTCTAAATTACATACCCACTATTGAAGTTTAATCCATGTATATAAAAGAAGGAAAAACACTGGATAGGTTTCCAAATGGATTTATTAACATTATCTTGTCATTTTTTAAAACCAAATAAATAAAAAAAATGGAGAACAGCAGGAAGAGAACGGAGCAGAAGGCGTTGGTTGCGCGCGGGACTTTGTAAACATTTGCTTTTGAAGTCGACACGTGCACTTTGTCTCACACTTGGCACTTATGGCAATGACACGTTGTTTTTCTAATAAAGAGAAAATCACTATTAACTTTAGTATTTTTTGTTTTTATTTTCTCAATTCTTTCAAAAATTACAAGTTCAGTGGTAAGGTAAGAGAGATGCTGGGATGGTTGATTGTGATTTATGTAGAGTAAACTGCTTTGATATATGTTTACGTTTTTAAAAAATGGATAGATAAAAGTATGGAAATAGGTAGAATTGTGCAAATCTCAATATTTATAATGATTTTATTATGTTTAAGAATTAACTAAAAATTTATAATTGATTTACATGGTTGGCAGTATACAAGAAATATATGCTCGAAGCTTGATGTTAATAAAAAAAATATAAATTTTATGCTAAAAGAAAGTTGGTAATTTAAATATATGAGAAATATATGTTGGATGCATAATGGTAGTAAGGAATATGAAATCTTATGCTAAATACAAGTTGGTATCATAGTCACATGAGAAACATAATATTGGATGAATAACGGTAGTAAGAAATGTGAAATTGTATGTAAAATATATATTGGTAAAATAAAAAATAAGAAATATATACTAGAAGAAAAATCGCAAACCTCAAGAATAAATTTTCATATAAATTAAAAATAAAAAAATAAAAAAAATACAATAATTAATGTATAAATTCAAATACATTAGATTTCTAGGGGAGTTTAGAAAAAAAAATTACGAACAAATTCTAAAAAAAAGAAAATAATGAGCCAATGTGTAATTAAAAGAGAATGAGACTATAAATATCTCATCCTCTTCTCCATGTGGCCAACTGCACAAGGTAAGAAGAAAAGGGGAGATTTTAGATTTTTCTCCACTAAAATTAAGGGAAAAACATCAAAAGTTTTAGGACTATACAAACTTTAAACTACTAAGTAGAGAGAACACACATTGATAAAGAAATTATTAAGGAAACAAGCGAAGAAATCGTGAGGAAAATAGAAAGAGAGGGCTGATACAAGGAAGGAAAAACTAAAATTCTTTAACTAAATTTAAGTTGAAATCCAAATTTCCTCAAGGTAAGACCCTATATCTAATTGTGAAAACTAATTTGAAATTTGATTAGGTATTGTGCACCAATTTTAGATTTTATAAATTTGGGTTCTTTGAGTGAAAATTGAAGGAATTATAGAATTTGATAGAATGATGTTAATTAAACTGCTATAAGTTGTTTTAAACATGAAAATCATGCAAAGTAGCCAAAGAAAACTCAATGACCAAGGGACATGAGTGGCCGACTATATGAAAGTTGAATGAGAGAAAAAGAAATTCTAAAGTTGTATTTGATAAACCTTATAATATGTGTTATGCTGTTAATAATAAGTAAATGAGGCAAACCATTGCATAGAAAGGAAAAGGGGACCCTTAGTCCCTTTAGGCCAAGTTTGACCAAGAATAGATTGAGGGGAGAGAGGAAGAGTTTTAGCATGTTAAATGTTAATGATGCATTAATTAATTCTAATAGGGAAAAACATGAAAACTTGATAATAGGAAACTTTGAGAGTCAAATATGTGTGTTAGTAAGGTGGAAATGAAATTATTAACCATGAATATAGCTTATAGTTTAGCTCAGGAGGAGTAACAAAAACTTGATACAACCAAAAGATTGATGTCTTCTCCCAAGTGTAAGAGTGTCGAAATAATAAATAATCCGACAAGATTGGAGTTGAACCACAAGGAGGTTAATTGTATAAATTATAAACAATAACAACAACAATAATAACAATTGTAATAATAATAATAATAGTAGTAGTAGTAATAATAATAAAGAAAAAGTTGATGAGAACTTTGAGATAGAAGATCAATATGAGGATCAAACAATGATAAAAATAAATGTAATGGTTAGAGGATCCACTAATGGTATTTCAAACAAGTATAGTATAAACTCTTTTTATTATTCAATTGGAAACCACACATAAAGGAGGTTCCAATCAGATTATAAGTTGTTAACATGATTACATTATTTATCTTATTCGAATAATACTAATACTTATAAATATTATCAGGTATTCATAATTATAACTTATGTTAATAACAAATCAAGTTCTTTTCATAGCACAAGTATCGGTTATACCATACGATTAAGCTATCAAAATGCCAAGTATTTGTTGTATCAAGTGTTATACAACACAAATCTAGATTAAACATTTAATAAGCAAAGCATTAAAATTGAACAAGATAACAGATACAAAATATGTTAGTATCAAATATTAAAGTCTATATTGAGTTTGCACTATACTTATTCTTACACCATTAGTGTAACATTTTCACCTTGACATAATAAACTTAACTAAACATAATAAAAAAGAGAAACATAAATAAATAAGATAAGAATATAAATAAAATAAAAGTTACCTAAGTAAAGGAAAGGAAATGAGATGCATAAATAAGAAATTAACGAAAGTAAAACTTACGCATTACAAAAAATATTAAGAAAGAGAAGAAGAATATGATCTTGATCTGAAAACCAAGATGCCTAAATGCATGGCAAATGCCTCATTTTATAGGCTAAAATTTAGAATTATTGTTTTGATAACTAATTGTTGAGTGGGTGACCACATCTTGACTTGGTGACAATCCTTCTCTTCTTTTCTTAACAAAATATCATTGATAACGTCAGAATTTAAAACAACCTTACCATGAAAGTTCTAAGAAATTGTCTTAGCTTTCCATTCATATAAAGCAAGCCAAAATCCAAGTTCTACAGCTCCAGTTATGATCCAATTACCGAATAGTGTTCCAGTTTGGATTAAACCAACAACTCTTTTCTAAGCTTTACCCGGAGGTTCCAATCAGATTATATATTGTTAACATGATTACATTAGTCATCTTATTCAATTAATGCTAATACTTGTAAATCTCGTCAAGCATTCATGATTATAACTTATGTTAACAACAAATCAAGTTTCTTTCATAGCTCAGGTGTCGGTTATACCATACATTATGGGCTATGAAAGTGCCAAGCATTTGTTGTACCAAGTGTTATACAACATAAATCAAGATTAGTCATTTAACAAGTAAAGTATTAAAGAGTGAACAAGATAACAAATATAAAACATGTTAGTATCAAACATTAAAGTCCATATTAAGTTTACATTATACTTATTCTTACACCATTAGTGTAGCCTTTTCACCTTGACATAACTAACTTAGCTAGACGTAATGAAAGAAAGCAAAATAGATAAACAAAATAAGAACATAAAAGTTAACTAAGTAAAGGAAAGGAAATGAAAGGCATAAACTTGATATTAATGAAAGTAAAATTTAAGCAATACAAAGAGAGAAAGCAAGAGCATTATCTTGATCTTAAAACCAAGATGCCTAAATACATGGTAAATACCTCCTTTTATAGGCCAAAATTTAGAACTATTGATTTGATAAATAATTGATGAGTGGGTGGCCATATCTTGACTTGGTGACAATCCTTATCTTCTTGTTTGAATAAAATATCATTGATAACATCAGAATTATAACCACTTGTACCATGAAAGTTTTAGGAAATTATCTCAGCTTTCCAGGAAAAAAAGAGAGGTCATTTGGACTTCTAAAACTCCAAATATAGGCCTAACATTAAACAGTGTTCGGGCTGCAAGACAAATTCAGACTTTTTCGTTGTTGCTGCAATTTGTACTTGAAAATGGACTTTTTGAATCTTGGCTCTTATGAAACTTGTAGACCAATATCTTACTTTTATATCCATATAAAATGGACCTAAATCCGAGATCTACAGCTCCAGATATAACCCAATTACCAAACAGTGTTCCAGTTTGGACTGCACCGCATCTTTTTTTTTTTTATGTTTGGTCATCTCTTTATCCTTTCAATTTAAGTACTTAAACTCATCAATCAATCCTTTTATTTATATGATAGACCTGTATTTCAGATGAGCCTGCATTAAAAATAGACATTTACCACAAATTAAAGGTATCTTATATTATTAGATATATTATTATAAAACATGCTTTGGTTAAGGAGTTATTGGTACTTCAAGTGCAAAATGATGATATAAAACCATGATAAAAATGCACTTTTAAGTACTAATCACACCCCCCAACCAGCTTATTACTAGTCCCTAGTAATCAAAGTATTAAAATAGAAAAATAATTTGTGAATTCTACAAAGTAAAGCATTCATCATTTAACTTCCATTAATCTATCCAGATAAACAAACTCTCATTAAATTTATATATCTGCTCAATACCTCTTAACAAGATATTAATAAACCTTTCTTTTGTGCTCAATGTATCAACACATAATTATGGGGCTTTTCTTGGAAGAAAACAAAATTTTTGTTCTAATGTTTAAGGTTAACTTCCTTGGGTTGGGATTACTATTTTTGTCTTTTTTTTTTTAACTCTATATACATATACTTTAAAAACATCATGCATCTTTAACCCATGTAACGACATGCATCTTTGACCCATGTAACGAGCTTTCGGCTAATGACTCCCAGACCAGTTGGTCTTAGGGCATTAGGTGTTAAGACACCCCTACGAGCTTAGTAACTCGGGTCGCAGCTACTGATATGTAGATAGTGCAATGTTTGATTCCCTTAAGCTTTTCTCCTCAACCCATGTAACAAGCGTTGGGCCAATAGCTCCCAAGTCAGTTGACTTTAGGGCATTAGGTGTTAAAACATCCATTTAGGCTTAATTGCTTAGGTTAGGAAGGTTACGAAACCAAACTTATTTATGTTTTTATTATTATTAATTTTTTTATTTTTTGGTTTTTTTATATATTATCCATTTCTCTTAGTTGTTACCTTTAATAAAAGAACATAAATAATGTAATAATCCAATGTGCAACTCACAATTATATGTTAAAGTGTGTGTGAAAATGAAGGTTTAAGAATACTTGTTTAATGAGTATA